GTATGAATCAGTAATGACATCAAATGCATCAGAAAATTCATCCAATCCATCATCACTTGGCATTGCATTGAGAGAAGCAGTAAGTGCAGTGTAAAGTGTTGTCACATTTGCAGGTCCATCCTGGTTTGCACCGGCAGATTGCAGAACAATGGCCTGTATGTCAGTGGTGATTTCTTTTGTGGCGTTTTGTAGTCTTTCTGCATAAAACGAGAGGGGGCTATTTGCAGGGCAGGATGAACCAAGGGTGCCATAAACGAGAGATAGAACTAAAACTATTGTCCGGATGATCATCATGATCATGAGCTGCTGCGGGTCAGACTGTTAAAGCTGCTGTTGCTGCTGCTCAGTTTCAGGTTCAACGTTTAAGGATGTCGAGAGTAGCTGTGTGCTAGGCTTTTTATAGAGGAGAGAACACAATAATGCTGCCATCATAGGATGATGATAATTAATTAATTGTCATGATTAGATCTAGGCCTATCCTTAATTAATTCAAATGATCCACGCCCATGGCCACGCCTTTTTTGTTAAACAATAACGATCATGGAAAACTTCTTCCAGTTAGGAAAGCTACAAGAACAACTAACTTGCGCTGTTTGTCTGGATATTTACACCAATCCCAGGACACTCTCTTGCCTTCACTCATACTGTGAGGAGTGCCTCCAAGGACTCACCATCTACCAACCACACTCCATCACTTGCCCAAACTGTCGCTGTAGTACGAAAGTACCCACTCCTGGGGGCGTAACTAAATTCCCGCCTGCCTTCCACCTCAACGGTCTCAGAGATATCTACAACACTCTTAAAAGGACTAGCCTCAGTGCTAGGAACGTCACTTGCGACAACTGTGGCTCGCCAAACGACATTGGATACTGTAGAAGCTGCAGAGGGTTTCTTTGCCCCGTCTGTATAGATGATCATGTTGGTTGTAGTGAGTTCTCAAGCCTACAGCAATCACTGGCATCTCTAGGAGGTGGCGGACTAACATCGCTAAACCAGCTTCCAGAGAATAAGGATCTCTGTCGTCAACATTCAGAGCCGCTAGAAACTTTTTGTAGAACCTGCAATGAAGTCATTTGTCTCCAATGCATTGTAAACGATCACAGTGCTCATGACACTGTTAATCTAGTCGATGGCTATTTCGAGGATTATCCTCTACTGGAGTCCAGTTTAAATACCATAGGTCAAATGATTCCCTCTATCAATCACTCCCTGATTGATATTGATAATCAAATTGAGGATGTCAGAGAGCAAGATGAAATCATCAAAGCGGAAATTCGTTTGATGGTCGAAGATTTGACGAAAGCTCTCCAGAAATCGGCACGACTCTTAACCGCAGACGTAGAAAAAATTACAGAGGCGAGAATGGCAAGGCTATTGGAACAAAAGAAATTGGCCAAATCGGCTTTAAAGCAGACGACACACATCAAGTCGTACATGGATCAGTGCTTGCAAGTCGGCACAATTCAACAGATTGCTCTCAGTAAGAAGCAAATGATGGAGCGAATGAATGCACTAAAAGATCAAATAAAACTGGAGGAATTCATACCAATACAATACACGGCCGTCAAGTTGATCAAAGACGAAACCCTTTCGGAGACTATAGAACACATGGGGCAGGTAATACCACTGGAAGTACTCCAGCAGTGTAAAGTAAAGAGAGTCTCAGATCGAGGGAATGTACCCGAAGAAGAAACAATCTCCTTTCCGGTATCCATCCAACTGCCTCGAT